GTGAAAGAACTCCAGAACAAAAGCTCATGGGAATGCTTGCTGTAGAAAATATGCCACTAATCCAAAGCAAGACCACCTGCGTCACAAAAACATGCTCTGTTGTGAAACGTTTAACCATCCATCCATCTTCTTTACACGCTTAATCCCAAGTGGGGTCACGAGGGGTGCTGGTGCCTATCTCCAGCTGTCAATGGGCTAGAGGCGGGGTACACCCTGGACAGATCACCAGTCCATCGCAGGGCAACACAGAGACAAACAACCATTCACACACACACTCACACCTAAGGAGAATTTAGAGAAGCCAATTAACCTAACAGTCATGTTTTTGGACTGTGGGAGGAACGTGGAGTACCCGGAGAGACCCCACGCATGCTCAGGGAGAACATGCAAACTCCATGCAGAAAGACCCCGGGCCGGGAATCAAACCCAGAACCTTCTTGCTGCAAGTCGGCAGTGCTACCCACTGTGTAAAACCTAAAAATAACATCTTCGCTATGAGACCAACCTCATATTAAGGGATGTTTTGCTACAAGAACGAGTATCTCACTCTAAAAAAATAGATGACGTCATTATTAAAATAGATTTTTTTGGGCAAATAGACAAGTTAGATTCATAGCTCTGGTTTCTTAAAAACTTTCGACAGAGCTATACAGTTAGGTGAGAGTAACAGGACTGAAACCTGACTCAGCTGGACTGGCTCTTACATCAACTGATCAACTGCTCTTCTGCAGCCTCTGCAGAGGTAAACAAACAATTAGACCCAATTTATCAGAAATATATCTTTGCTAAATACTATGAATAATGTAAAGTTGGGTATTTGAAAGAAGAGAGATAGAAATGTTTTAAATAATCACCCTCTAATTACTCTGGTAAAAACCAATCAAAAATAAATTTTGTAAATGTTATTTCAAAAAAGGGAACATTTGGGTTGTTTTAACTATTAACTTTGAGAAAATCATTGTTATAATACAGAAAAATAATATATGTTGACACGATACATATTTATGCAGTCATATTTCCAGACTAAGCAGGTCCTGGTCTGTTTCAGCCATCAAAAAGTTTATGATCCTTTCTATAAAGCTTTTTTTTTTTTTTTGAAACAAGGTAAGATTTTAATAAAATAATATGACAAGAATTGTCCTTTGGCATTTATTATCATTATTCCGCATTCTTTATTTTTCTATTTATTCACAGATGCCAGCTGTGCTCATTCTTGAGTGGTTTGTTGCTTCACTAGTTGTTCCTTGTGATGCCCAAAGCTTCTGTCAGATTTAGGAATGCTATCTGACAAGTCCTTTCCTGAAAGCTGCAGGGCTGAATGAGACTGCTGTTAAATAAAGCTCTGTAGCGCTGCAGCTTCTGAGATCCTTTCTGATGTCTTCGCATTGCATGTTCAAGGTTTGGGTTTTGGTTCTTTAATGAGAGTAATGTTGAATAAAAAAAAAGTTGAGGAAGAAAATTTGGGGTTTCTTTTTCTGACTTTCTTTGATTTCCTTTTGTTCTTGCTGTTGAAGAGTTGAGGATTTTTATATGTATGTTCATTGCTGTTCCGGCTCTAGTCTTTCTACTTTTACAAAGAACACAAATTAACGCGAAGGAGGGGGAAGAGAAGTCATGCTGATCAGAAAAACAGATGTCTAAAAGGGGGCCTTTTCAAAGTTGCCCATAGGGAAATTTGCGTTGCTGGAAGTGGGACAAGGAAGATGGAAGACAATACTATAGAGGTTTAATTATCCAGCCATCAGAAATGAAAAGAGAGACAAGGAGAACTGAGACTAATAATGGAATCACAGACTTATGTTCTGGGTTTTCTTATTTTTCCCCCAATATATTTCACTCCTTTCTATCATCTAAAGAATTCATTCTCCAAAACGCACTACTTACCCTTCAATCAGCTCCCTGTCATAAGTCCAAAGGGTTCAGAGATGAAGGAGAGAAAAGGAGAGAAATCTCACTTTTTTGTCTTTTTTATGTGTGAAGCGATTGAAAATATCATCTAAATGACTTGAGGTGGAGAAGGAACAATGGAGGGACAATGAGGATTAGCACTCTTTTGTTATCGTGTTTTATAGGATTTTATATTACCTTATCTAATGTATCAAAGCAAACTGCAGTTCCAGCTGATGTAGTTTAGGGTAATTACATATATTCAGTTTTTTAAACATGAAATCTTGTGATTTATTTATGGAATAAAAAATGTATAACTTCTTATAGCAGTGAAATGATTTTAACAAAAGGCATTGCCTTTCAAAATGTCTCTTTAAAGTGTTCCCATGATTGTATAAAGTAGGAATGATAAGAAAATGAAAAACAATATGAATAGTAACTTATATAATGATCTTTAGAAACCACAAGTGCCTGTTTAAACATAAATAAAGTTTGTGATGGATTATCATAATACAGCAAAAGCGTATAAAATGCTATTTCTGGATGTTTAGTAATTGAATAAAACAAACTAAGCAGAGCAGAAAACCATGTTTTTAAAATATAAAGCATATTCTATTGGTTTAAAATGAATAATCAGGAACATCTAGTGTATGCACATAATGTTTCTACATATTTGTTGACTTAGAAACAATTAGTACCAAATATGAACTTGTACTGTAAGTAAAAAGAATTTAGTAGTAGAAATATTTACATTTAACTTCTGCCTACTTATTTTTGGACATCTTATTAAACAAGTGTGCTTTGTTTTTTAGATTTTAGATGATTAGGAAGCGTTTATCGACCTGTAATGTAAAGAAATGAGAGAATTGCAAAGGATTTTAAATCTTTTCTGTAGCGTATGTCCTGAGCTATTTAACTGACAACCAAACAAAGAAAATATAAAAAGTTTTCCAATATGGAAGTCTGAACACCAATTAATTGATACGTTTGTTGAGGCAGGGTTTGGATTTAATTTAAGCATTCCTGTTCTGAAATTAGCATCTTAATCAATATTAAGTTCAGCTGTATCTGCAAGAATTGTTTCGACATTTGCATACCTGCAACAAAGCTGCAGATATAGTTTGTAGGGAGGTTACAATACACCAAAAGTATCTAATCTACAAATTGTCTCACAGGAGAAAAGTACCAGAAATCATAATCAATGCACAGTAAAATTCTAGCTTGATCTGTTTATCTTTTTATGGCTGCAAGAATCCCTTATATTATTCTTCTAAGTTATATAAAAAGAAGAAGAATCTTGGTGGAAAGCATTACAATAGGATGAAACCAAAAGTTTCCTTTGGGCAACTATTGAAAAGTGATTTTGCACCAGGAAAAATACACAACAACACACCAGCCCAGTAAAACTGGATGGGGGCAGCATCATGCTGCAGAGGTTGTTTTAGCAGGTGGAGAGAAGATTGTCAGGATCAATGGGAAGCAGAATGGAGCTGTAAAAGACTTGGAATTGAAGCGTAGAGGTCAACCTCACAGCTGGAAGTGTCTCTAAACACTGTAATAATGTGTAAATAGTTATAAACACCAGTGATCAGAAAGTATTACCCTTTTCATTCTTAATCAACAAATAATGACTTACTTTAAAACCTAGAAATAAATCTGAGATAAAATGTGCGGGTTCAAATAAAGAGGACTGAGGACAACATATGTCTCTACCTGATGGATCTGGGAAGCCTTTAGCATGATGGAAGCCATAGACTTTTCGTTTTGGTAGTATGTACATATATACTCCCAGCATATTTGCTGTTATTTCAGTTTAATTCAACATCAGAATTAGAAATACTTTAATAATCCCAGAGGGAAATTACTTTTGTTACATACTCCAGTTACAGTTATGTATATATATATATATATATATATATATATATATATATATATATATATATATATATATATATATATATATATATATACACACATCCAACTACACAAGACAAAGATACAAATAAATACATGATATAAGCTTCACTAATAAAACTTTTTCTATATTGAGTCATTTTAACTTGATTAGGCATTAATTTTACTGAGTCTTGGAGTTGTTATTTTAAAAAACTAAAGGATATTTGTCTTAAAATGTTAAACTTAAATAACAGGTACTGCTAAATCCAAATTTGGATTTTTTTACTTTCAACTAATTTTATTACTATCAGAAACCACAGCTCTATTTCTGCCTAAAAACTTTGTATTTCAGGGTGTTTCTGTTATATCTAATGATCAGTGCCCCAAGAATCCAGCACAACCTGTCTCCCGCTGAACCCTGTTGATGTTTTGTTATCCCCTGAGCATTGTTGCTCTTGAATGTCAAAGAAAAAAGATCGGCCAATAGCGACACTCCTTTAATTGAACATTACTCAAGGCCAAAACTCATAATACTTGTTTAGCTTGATCTTAAGGCTTTCAAATGCTTTTCCTGCTGGGTCTCATATTTTTTAAATCAATAATTAATTGTCAAAGTTATTTATTCATGTGTCTCTTCTCCAATTATGCTGTGTCTAATTAAAAATTTCAATAATTGATATTTATTTCTGAAAGCTCTCAGAATCTGAGTGTGATGAAAAATGCATGAGCAGAGATTGTGGACGGGGTTTTTGTTTTTTGTTCTGAGAGAGCTTGACGCTCGGGGCTAATAACAGGCCACTTTGACTCTGGCTCTTTGAGTTGGTACTGGTCTTATGATGTTGATCTAACATGGGCTTCTTTCATGGACCCGAAGTGCTCACTCTGTACCATGTGATCTCATAAAGACTCCAACATGTCCATTCTCAGATGCTCTTCTTTATGTCTTTAACAGCAAACTTCAAACAATAAGCTTCTGTTTCCTTGAGAATTTCTTTCTGTGTATGTTTAATGAAGCTCTAGAAAACTGCAAAGTCTTGGTCTTGCAAGGACCTCAATGGCTACTCTTCATGTCTGTATAAATGTCTGTATCTACATTTTAAAAGAAGAGATCACATTAAAGTGACAGCTGTGCTGGAGAATAAAAATCAAGAAGTCTTTTGTTGATTTTCATCAAGTTTTTATTTATTTATTGTGATTTAATTGGGACAGAAGGTTCAGGACCTGCTGGCAAAATATTTTTTGCAATGGGACAACCAATGCAAAAAAAAAAAAAAGATTGTCAATATTCTGATTTGTTTTAGCGCTTTGTTGGAGAATAGCTTCAATGCAAAGCAACCAAAGTAAGTTTAATCCCACTTTGGTTAGACCAAACCACCATAAAGTGTTTGATTGCAGGTTTGGAGACCACAGAGTTGTGACCATGCTCCAACAGAGCTGGCATGAGAGACACAAGAGGAAGGCTTAAAGAGTGGGGCTCAATGAGGGCAAAAAAGAAAAAATCAACAGAAATTTATTTGTTTTCTGTGACGCGTCTCAGAGAGCCAAAGGTAGCGCTTGTGCTTCCCCACTCAATGTGCCTTCTGTACTCTCCTGGACGCAAGAAGTATTGGCGCCCCCTGTAGTTGGTGTGTTCATGGAGCATCCAGTAGCCCTCCATGACATTGACAGAGGAGATGTCACGCGTGTGGAAGCGCTCATTGAGATCAGGGCAGTCTTCCACCACCTCCATATTTTGTCCTGCGAAGTCAGAACGCTCAAAGATCTTCATCCTGTAGTTTCCGTTGTACTACAGAGGGGAAAACGTAAAGGTAAAATTGTGTTGCATGTTTAAAGAAAACCTTGCAGCAAGCAAGGTATGTGCATCATTCAAAAACTTACAGGAGGGACGATGCGGCATGAGCGGATGCAATCGTTGAAGCCGGCCCAACGCTGGTAGTCAGGATATTCTCCCTTGTGCAGCATGTATTGGTAGCCTGAATAGTTGGGCTTTTCGTAGGCCACCCAACAGCCACTGTCAACCTTTATGGAGTTGCAGCGGGTAAGGAAGCTCTGCATCTCAGGACAGTCACTACTACACTCATAGTGACGGCCCTGGAAGTTCCTGTCTTCATAGAAGATAATCTGCATTTGAAAGATGGTTGTCATTAAAATATCACCGCAGAGCTATTTCATTCTCCCTAAACTGCCTCTTTATAAATGTCCATTAAATTTGGCATTACCGAACTAAAGATGGCTTGGAGTGGAAATCAACTTGATTAATAAAGAGCTTAATTAGAGGCTTAAACACATCAGTGCACAAGCTTTTTCTATTTTCAAGACCACTGCTAGTAAAGTAATGACCTCTGGTTCAGTTGCAGTGATCTGCTTTGTCCTACCAAATGTATTTGTTTAAAATATGAGACTCTCTTGATAAATTAGAATATCACCTTACACCTAATCTGTTTTAGTAAGTTAATGCAAAAACTGAGATGTTATTTCCTGGAATCACAGGAAAGACTGTAGGTGGGACAGATTTTCCTCACACACACCTTGATAATAGGAGTAAACTACCAAAAGTTATGGCACAAGACACTGGCTATCCAAGGAGTGTTCTTTCCAAGTGTATTAGAAGGAAAGCTAAGTGGAAGGAAAAAAATATGAACACGTTCCTAGTCTTGGGAAGAGTGAACGGGTCCAGAATCCAAGTTTATATGGAGGGGAGGTAAGTCTACTGCAGTTAGTCTTTGTTTTTCATCAAGTGCAAAGTAATGTCTAATAGGAAGCACATGTTTCTTTATGGTGACAAGCTTTATTTAGATGCTAATCTGCCCTGCTGGTGGAGGTACAGTCAAGAGGAAAATGGGACATCAGACTAACAACAAGGACTGCCATGTAAGCAAGTCAGCTTGATGAACAGTTCAGCAGACTGGTAGATTAGTTGCTGCCATCATACAGGACAGAGACTAAACTAAGAAAGAACTATGCAATTTTTAGAAATTGTTATAAATATTTTGCTTAGTTTGTTTTACAATTGATTCTGCTTTCTGTTATTTTACTAGTAATGTGGTGCATTACAGTTGTTTCTATTCAGTTTTCCCCCCCCAGCAATATTACAACTTGTTTTGCAATGACTTAATCAGTAAAGACAACAAATCAAATATTTGCACTTTAGAAGCTATAAAGACTTCGAGCCTACCTTGCCCATTGTGACTTTGTTCTGTTAGGTTCAGTCCAGATCCGGCGCAAAGCTTCTGTCCGGTCCTCTTTATAGATCCTGCTGGGATCAGGGCTTTGTGAGCTTGACTAAAGCTTTGTCATGTCAGCACGGTTTGCTCAATACAAGGTAAAACACTATAGGAATGGTGAGCTGCAGCAGCTGCTTTGTCTCTGTAAAAGCTCTGTCTGTCTATAGAAAAAGACTTTACAAATGCGTTTTTTTGAGGGGGGGTCCCTGAGGCTTTCAATAGCCGTTACAACATCTGCCTTTACTTGCATGCATGCCAGAGACACATAATTTTGTATGTGTTTGTAAATAATCCCACATAGAGATGATTTTTTTTTTTTTAAGTTAGAAGTTTATTGTTCATTTGATGCCTGCATGGCTGGAGTTTTACATGCTTGTCCTCATCCTTCTGAAAGAGCCCACCATGGGGTTGAAGCAGCCCCAGTCCCTGTAGGACCTGTACTCTCCTGGGTGCAGGAAAAACTGCCGTCCCCTGTAGTTAGGATGCTCGTAGAAGATCCAGTAGCCCTCCATGACATTGCAGGAGTAGATGTCTCGGTAGTGAAAGCGTTCGTACACGTTAGGGCAGTCGTCCATGAACTCCATCATGTGACCCATCATGTCAGGTCTGTTGTAGAGCCTCATCCTGTAGGATCCTCTATACTGCAAATCAAAAAGATCAGAGTATCATTTTATTTTGGTTGCTATTCACCCTACAAAGACCTTTGGTAGATCATCCTTGAATTTTGGTATTAAGTACGAATAAACATGAATAAGAATGGATTTTTAAGTTAGACTTTTCACCATCTTAAAGTATTGCCCTAGAGCAGGGGTCTTCAATGTTTCCAGGCCAAGGACCCCAAAACTGATGGTGAGATGTAGCAGGTACCCCTAGTTATATATATTGTATTGAATTGTGTAAAGAAATTTCAGCTTAGGGTTATTAAAGTATTTTTGATTCTGATTCCTCGTTAAAGGGACAGGTGTCTAGCTGTGTGTCGTTGAATGTGTGCATTGAAGACTGAAAGACATCTTCTGCCTCCATTTATGTGTTTACTACAGTGTTGAGAAAACGGCAGCGGGAAATATAAAAAAAAGTCTAATCAACCAAAACATTTGTGACCCCCATGCAGTACCTCTGTGGACACCCTAGGGGTTGCGGACCCCCTGCTTAAAACCTCCACTCTAGAGTAGCAAGCAGTGGAGTAAGAAAACTGAATCTTAGGTGGGGGATTTTCTACTTTTAAAACATGACTGGATCTATTAAAGGAACTCCAAACAGAGATTTTACATGAATACAATTTGTGAGTAAGTAACATTTATTTCCAAAGCAGCTTTATGAGTTGCAAGTTGACAATGACTTGGTTTAGGAGCAGGGTGCTTCTGATCTGTGTCTGTCTGAGTGATTCACTTACTGGGGGGAACATCCTGCAGGAGCGGATGCAGTTGTTGAAGCCCATCCATGAATGGTAGTCAGGGTAGTCACCAGGGCCGAGAATGTACTGATAACCCATGTAGTTAGGCTTCTCGTAGGCCACACAGTAACTACCACTGACACGGATGGATTGGCAGCCATTGAAGTGCCGGAAGGTGTCCATGCAGTCCCCGGTGCACTCCCAGTGGCGACCCTGGTAGTTCCGGCCTTCGTAAAAGACTATCTGTAAAAAAAAAAAAAAAAAGAGGCAAAATGTAAGTTCTGAAGTCTGAACTGTTGCACTTTACATTTTCATTTTATAAATATAGAAACTAAATGCTGCACACTGGAAGTGCATTTCTAGAGTCTGAAAGATGACAAGTCAAGATTTTTTATGAACCCAGACTGAGTTTCAGGTTGTTTTGTCCTCTCATCAATTCATAGCCTCATTTAGAACGTGAGAATTACATCATGCACAAAATGAAGATTCAATGCTGGTGATATTAACCAACGCTTGTTCGTTTATTTTCAAGTCTCCAAATATTCTTGTTGATTTTTTGTGAGAAAGATAGCAGTAATCAAACTTTGGTAATACCTAGATCTAATTGGATTATTCTAAAATAGTAAACATTAGCCCATTGGTCTATGAACTTTGGCTCTGATTCTCATTTGGACCTATAATTTCAGATTATGACACAAAAAAGTGTCTAGTTTAGAGAATGCTTCTTTTTGCAGCTGGAACAGTCATTTATGACAAAAACTGCAGAAGCAAGAAAATTTAAAGGGACAAAATGACCACAGTCCCGTCAGTTTATTTTTCCCTCCTATTGGTCTGATCACGTTTCTATTGCCTCATTCTAACACAGAGCACTTCTTGCCCACTTCGATTCCTCGCTGCATGAGGTGCTCATACCTTTCCCATGGTTGAAGGGCTATGGATATTTTGCGGCATGGCTCTGAGCTCACCTACAGGTCCTTTTATACTTTCCTGCTGACCATGAGGCCCGTATCACATCACAGACTACTACGCTTCACCTTTTCAGATGATGACCACTGTTGGCTTTGTCTGCAAGCTCAGGGATAACTTATCTCCAGTCTGCTAGAGTTTACCTATAGAATTGGCAACTCCCACTGTCAAAACAAGACAAACAAAAAAAGAGAACAGCACACAAATGTTATTCTCTGTTTGCATGACCTATGTTCCGCCATTTCATACTGCCTTTTCAAATGACACACAAAGCCCTTTGGCTGCATGGCCCCCCCTTAGAAAAAAAAGCATTGGAGGTGTATAGGTTAACTTTTTGAGACCCACTAACCAGGCTGGGACAGATTTATTTTCTATAAAAGATCTGTCTCAGGCTGATCAGCTCCTTTTAAAGAAAAGTTGTGATGATAGTTTGGGCATAGTGAAGCTTTGGGTTGATATGATCTACAGTGATCCCTTCTCTCTTTTTCCTTCCATAGCCTCCAGTTGCACTGCGATGTTAGACGGGACTGGTCTGTTTGCAGATATAGAGAACTTTATGGTGTGAATGTGGTTGTGTGATATAAAAAGAAGGGGGTTTTGTGGCATCTGTGTGTTTGAGTCTTTGTGTGAAATGATAGATGTTTGGACTTAAGCGTTGGGCTTGTAAGTGTAGCCCAGGGCGGAAGGGGTAAAATGCCTGAAAGAATTTCTGACATGCATTATGCTCCAAAAGCCCAGCTGGTGCCAGAAAGGTCAGTCCCATTTGTACCTTTTCATCATGATAAAGACCCTGTACACCCAACCCTCCCCCCACTGACCCCCTTTGTGCTTTATTTGCTTTTTTCAGCTTTGAATGTGTATTAAATCAAACACAACCGTTAAGTTCCTAGGCAAAAACACAGCTTTCCTGGTTGTATCTCCAAAGTCATATGACACAGCTCAAATTTTAAGAAGGCGCGCTCATAGACTGTTTGCGTCTTTGATTACTGATCCAACCCAAACTCCCATATGGCTTCAGTGGGGTTTCATGTATGAAATGCTGCTCTTTTCCTCTGACATAAGTAGTTCATTGATATCCTTTCATCATACTGTGCAACGTAATTGTAGTAGATGATCAAATGGGATGTTTTGTTTTGTTTTGCGAGTTTCTGGAGCAAAGGTTTACTTTGGAATGAAACGTTCAGAATCTGTTATAAACAAATGTTTAAATTTTTTATATTTGATTAAATAAATTCACAAATGGGAAATCTAACTCAAAAGACACAAACAGTATGGCAGGAAATATGCTCTGACAAAGCCAGCCTAAGACATAAATTAGGCATTCTGCAGTTTAGTTCTTTCAGGCCAGCAGGAGGCTCCTATGAGTGTTTTAAGTCTTGCAGTGTCAAGGTAATTCCTGATTGTGTTGCTATGAGCTACTGTATTGTGCTGCAGCATTGAGTGGATAAGATAGCAGAAGTCACAACATAGAGTTTAAGGTATCACATATATAGAAAAACACAAATGTTTCCACTATTAAAATATTTTTTTTCACTTTTTCTTGTACCAATAGTAATTAATTATAGTGCCCTAGTTTTTCCTCAAAAATATTATATTTGCCTTTTTTAGTTATATTTATGTTCCCCCAAACCTACAAGATTCAGATCATCAAACTGTTATTACTGTCATGAAATTATGAGGGCAATCCAAACTGTGCCTAAGTAATAGAGTAAATACAGTAAATATATAGTACAACTGTGATTCTTCAGACATAGCCAGACCTGTCGAAATAAGAAATATATAGATCCTCACTAAGTAGTGAAATACATACAATCTAAAATGTAATAACATATGGGTGATCATTAAGAAAGGATTACAGCCATGTCTAAATATTTTGGTCATTAAAAAAAAGATCTGAACTGGTGGGACCTTTTTCCACATTTGATGGTTTTTGTTTGGAAAAAATCCTCACTGTTTGGTCTGGTGATAAAGCAGCTTTAAAAAACTAAATGCAGAAACACTTGATCTGCTGCTTGATCTACAGTACATTAAGTCCTGAATTTTACATTTTAGCATTATATTCCAGTTGCAACTTAGTACCTTTTTTTTATCTAAACATTGTATTGTTCTGTATTAAGAAACTAAAAGGTGCTATGCAGAAAATATAGTTTTGTAAACATGATTGCTTTTAAATCTCACTTTAACACAATTCACTTTTATATTGTGTTTATGTCAGCTTTGTAATTGTTGCTTGAACAAGTTATTATAAATTTTTTTAAATTGAATGAAATTTTCCCCTGACTGTTGCTGTTTTGCTCACTGAGAGTTGATGGTTGGTCCCAAAGCCAGTCATTGGAGAACCACTGATTTATTTATTTTTTTAACAGTGTCCTGTCTGGCAATGTTGCAATAAGAATAATTGTCTCGATGCCAAAAAGAGCCCAACAGATTTTACTTTCACAAGTGGAGCAGTATGGCTATCACCATAGTGTTCCGCTTGATTTATGCCTATAAATTGCTTTATTATAATTATGTAGGAAGTTTTAGAGATTATTTGGACACTGCAATGAAAGTAAAACATAAAAACTGAAAAAAATAAGAAAAGATGAAGGAAAGAGCAGATAAAAGGGAGATTACGATAAAACAAGTGATCTAAAGCACTTCAGGACCCATGTGTCTCAGTGTCCATGACTGAATTTTTAGAAAAAGACTGGGTTTGAAAAAAAGGCCATTCTATGAAGAGATTAGGCCCAAAACTACAGCTGACCACAGCAAAGAAAATTATCTCTGGACTGATGACAATGACTGATGACTGATGACAAAAAAAAAAAAAAAA